AGGACACATGCGGCTACCATCACTGGAACTGTGCTGGTTTGAACCTGAAGCCAGTACACCACTAGGTTTTGCCTAGGGCCTACTGTAACCACTCTGGCTACTGCCTGTGTTAACTCAAGGCCCAAGGGCTCTACAGTCAACAGATGGGAAGCTGGTCAGGTTTATATCTTTTCTGTTAGGGCAGCAAGTTCCCCAAGACCCTGGGCAGGTACAGAGATGCTGTCTAGAAGCCAGAGATCAGAGTAAAAAACCCTAGAAATCTACCTGATATTTTATTCTACTCTTATTAAGCTAGCCCTCAAACCACAAGACAAAAGTCCTTCCTGTTGTTGCCTCCCTTTTCCACTAGCATAGGAGCCTCTCCCAGTGGTTACTACCACCACTGGCCTGCAGGGAGTTCTGCCAGGCCACCACCAATGTTCATGTAAAGCCCAAGCACTCTTCAGTCAGCTTGTGGCAAATGCTGCCGGGCCTGTGACTCACACATCAGAGCAGTGGGCTCCCTTCTGTCCCAGGGCAGAAATGCTGTCCAAGAACCTAGGCCTAGACTCTGGGTCCCCAAGAGCCCAGTTGATGTTCTACTCTACTGTTGCCAAGTATGTACCTAAGGTGTAAGACAAAGTTCCTTTTACTTTTTCCTCTTCTTTTCTCTAACAGGAGTCTTTCTGTTAGAGTAGTCACTGCCGCTGGGAATGTGCTGGGTCTCACCTGTAACCAGCATATCTTAGACTCTTACTCAAGACCCACTGTACACTATCTTAAGTATCACTTCTTGTTATTTGGGGCTCAAGGGCTCTTTAGTCAGTAGCTGATGAATCCTGCCAGGGTTTGGTTCTTCTCAAAGCAGCAGGTTCCCTTCTAGCCCAGGATGTATATAGAAATGTTGTCTGGGGAACTCATGACTCTGTCCGGTGCCCTATCTTATTATCGCTAAACTGTATTCAAGATGCAAGCTACTTTTCTCTTGGTACTTTTTTGTTTGTTTTTTTGAGACAGAATCTCACTTCTTCATCCAGGTTGGAGTGCAATAGCACGATCTCAGCTCACTGTAACCTCAGACTCCCAGGTTCAAGCAGTTCTCCTGCCTCAGCCTCTCTGGTAGCTGGAATTACAGGCATGTACCACCATGCATGGCTAATTTTTGTATTTTTAGTAGAGACAGGGTTTCACCATGTTAGCCAGGCTGGTCTTGAACTCCTGACCTGAATTGATCTACCTGCCTCAACCTCCCAAATTGCTAGGATTACAGGTGTGAGCCACCACATTGGAAGGAGTCACTTTTGTTGCTGCAAGCTGCACTGCCTGGGGTTGTTGGAAGGATGATGCAGGCACTTCCTTGGCCATCCCAGCTGATGTGTTTCTAGGTCATGTAGCACCCCAGTCTACTGGCTCTAAGCCTAGCCCAGCACTAGGACTTGCCTAAGAACTGCAGTCTGTGTGTCCCTGACTGCCTTTTAATTTTACCTAGTACACTAGAGCCCTTTAGCCCTTGGTGGTGAGGCTTGAAGAGAAACTCAAGTCCCAGCCACTGGGATGAATGATTCTCCTCTGGCTAGGGCTGACCCAAATACTCCCTCTGTGGGCAGGGGCTGGCTGAGCCCGGCTCAGCTTTGCTCTCTTCTGTGACAGAACAGCACTGAATTCAATACCAAGTCCTACAGTCACTGTGCTCTCCCTCCCTGAAGTGCTCAGATTCTCTCTTCATGCCACACCGCTGTTGCTGGGGAATAGGAAAGAGGTAGCATCAGTGATTCAAGACTGTGTCCTTTCAGTGATATAAAGTTAAATCCAGGTACTGTGACTGCTCACCTGACTTTTGGTTCTTATGACAGTGCTTTTTTGTTTGTAGTTAGTTGTTAGAATTTTGTGTTCCTTTGGGGGCAGCCAATCAATGGAGGCTTCTATTTGGCCATCTTGCTCTGCCCCACCCCCCAAATAGAGGCATAATTAATATTTTTAGTGTAAAATGCCAGTGTGGCAGACAGGAAATAATATTAAATTGGGACTCAGCATACTAGGGTTCTGATCCCAGCTCCATAATTAACTGGCAATGTGATCATAAGGAAACCATACAACTTTTCTTGTACTCAGTTATCTATTAAATGAGCTTGGTTAATTAACACTTTACTCAAATCAAGAGACTTGTACATATATAGAAAGACATCTCTGATTTCTAGGTAGGGACAGGTAGCAATGGCTTGCCTGGAGTGGGTAGTGATGTCCTATCTGAATGACACCAACATAAATGGAAAAGATGCTGAACGCTTGGGGTTAGTTCAGTTTGGGTCCATTCATGAGACAGATTCCACACAGTAATTTGGACAAGGGACAATTTAATATAAGGAGTTGTTAATTATAGCAAGAGACTACAGTAACAAAAGATTGGCTGGTAAGAAGTAAAGAGAATGTTAAACAATATAAAAATAGCAGATACAAAGATCAGCTACTATCCCTAGAGCTGAGCTAGAACACCCAAGAAAAAGCTCCCTGCACTCAAGGTTGAGATCCAGACCTTGTTTGGGGAGGTCTTTGGGAGGTGATTAGGTGACAGGGTAAAGCCCTCATGATTGAGATTAAAGCGCTTATAAAATGGTCCCCGGAGAGTCCTCCATGTGAGGATACCACAAGAAGTCAGCAGTAGGCACCTGGAAGAAGGCCTTTACCAGGAATTGACCATACTGGCTCCCTGATCTCAAACTTCCAGGCTCCGGAACTTGATAAATAAATTTCTGTTGTTTATAAGCCATCCACTCTATGGTGTTTTGTTTTAATAACCTGAACAGATCAAGACATTGTTGAGGGCGTGGCTGTGGCTCACAGAGTGGCTGATAAACCACTGAGATGCCATACCAGTGGAACTTGCTGAAAATCCTGCCTCTAGGGTGCTTAAGGAGTCACCCATACTGTAGGAGCTGGGCACTAGAGAAGCTTTGCGCTCTGCGTAAGCCGGACACTGGAGAAGCTGCCCGCACTGCAGGACTGCCAGGAGAGCTCACTGGAATCAGGGAGCAAACCCCATCCTCCTGCATCGTTTCTTGAGCACATTCTACTAGTGTAGCTTAACCTTGTGTCAGCTAACAACTGAAAACTAAAGGGCCCAGTTTCATTCACAGAGCAAGCTAAAAGGATAACTTTGGATCAGATGCGCACTAAATCCATAGCTTGCACCGGCGGACATTGAAAGCAGTTTCCTAAAAGACAGAAGTTCATGAAATGTGTCTTATTGTACCTTGGCAATCATTTGTTCCAGAGGCAACCAACCAGAGGCTTGCTGACCAAACTGAGTCCCTATGCACAGTAAAGAGCCTTAAAAATTTGAGTTTGAATGCTTTAAGGAAGGCCAAACCTGTTCTAGTTTATCATAGTCCTCAGTAACTCTCTAGGATCTTAAGCTCAACAGGCAAACTTCATACAAATATATGTCAGGCCCACATAAGCATCTGAGCATGTGGTCCTGAACTATCTAACCACTTCATTTCACAGGTGAGGAAACAGGATGCTTAAATGGATACTTCTGCTCCTACTCCCATCTCTGTCATAGTCAAACAAAACAGGAGGGAGGTAATACATAAACCTTCCTTTAGTTCTGATTTTTCTCAAACATTTGCTTCGAATTTGGGCAGTTTGTATTGCACAGATTTTGCTCATTTACATAAAATAATGATCATTGGAAAAAATATGTTCAGGTAATTCTCTAAGGCAAGAAAATAACCAAACGCTTACCCAGACTTCTTTCTCCTTCGGTAACTAGCCTGGTATTAAGTATGCCTTAATGTAAAATCCCATCCAAAATATCCTAAAACAAAACCAGCACTTCACAATGTGTGATTAGTACTATAAGAACAATGTCATTGATTCTCCTATTCTCCCCTCTCTCGCATTTTCAGATCCATTACTTTCCATCTGATGAGGCTGTAGAGATTTCCATCACTTCACCAGTATGGGAAATCTATGCTATTTTCATTAAGTAACTAAATGTTAGGCCATTTCCAATTCTTAAATAATTTCACACTCTTGGCAAGGGGGGAAAAGGATTATTCAAAGTTATTTAAAAGTTTTTACAGGATTGCTGATAATTGCAACAGTAGCAATGCCCTACTAATGCAGATTACTTTATGGTTTATAAACATATATAATATGAAATGTTATGTAATATAATACATGTGACATAGATAAAATATACAGAATTTCATCTGAAATAACTCTTCAGAAATTTTACTTGCTAGAAAAATTAAAGATGCTAAGGTGAAAATAATTCAAAAACACATTAGTTCATTCCAAACAGAAACATAAGCCTATTTTATTTAAAAATAAAAGACACCTCCACACATTGATAACAACTGAAATTTTAGGTAAATAAGTGAGTTTCAGAAGTTATTCTGGGGCACAGTATTTGTAATCAAGAGAAAAAGAATGGGCATGGTAAAAACTTGGAATCTGGCAATCAGGGGACATGGATTTGTAAATCTTCTGTCCATAATGGATCATCATTCATCTTCTCAAAGTTTTGGTTTTTCAATCCATGTTGCAGGTGGGGGATTCCATATTCCTTTATAACTTTTGCCCTCCCTCTCCCCACAAAGGCAGTGAAGAATTCCTATCTCCTTCATCTCATTTGTCTTTCTTTGTCTTCACCCCTGATAAGGAAGGAATTTGGTTTGTTTTCTTTTTCTTAATAGCACAAAGTAAGATTTATAGAAACACATGAAACAATCACTGTAAGACTTGGTTAAAAAAAAAAAAGCAATGGTTAAGCAAACCTGATATATGCTGGTATGAATGTGGGAGATGTAAACATAAAGTGAGCAGGCGAATCACCATGTAGGCCCTTCTTCAACGTTTGAACTGATTGAAGGAATAAGCTACATAAGGTCTAGAGTGTTCATAGTTCCTGGGATTTTAGTTCTGTATGACTGCAAAAGTTGTTTCCGTGACCAGTTGTTACTGGAGTCTTTGCTGTGCAGCCACGTTTTAGGACGACACTTCTCCAAATGCAAAAGTTACTTGCTGTCAATAGCTCCACGCTGCTTTTGTCTTATAAATTGTTCTGCATCTTCATCTTTCATTCTGCCTTCAGTTAATGCTAGGGTAACAAGTACCGGAGCTCTCCCAAGGCCAGCAATGCAACAAACAGCAATACAACAACCTGGTTCTTCATGAAACTTATTTTTTACAAGACATAACCAGTCTTCAACAGTCTGATTGGTTGGTGGTGCATCATCATCAAAAGGCCAGTCAAAAACATCGATACCTTCTTTCTCCACAAGATTAGTGTCATAAGTTACTTCACATACTCTTACTATTGTGGTAACTCCATACTTCTTAAGTTCATCTATAAATTTGTTTAATGTTGCATTGGTTGGATTGTGTGTAGTAAGAAATCTCATGTTCTTGTATGTGACTTCCACAGGAGCTGGACAGCTCGTTCAAGTCATGTTAATATAGTTAAAAGATATTCGGCCGGGCGTGGTGGCTCACACTTGTAATCCCAGCACTTTGGGAGGCCGAGGCAGGTGGATCACAAGATCAAGAGACTGAGGCCGTCTTGGCCAACATGGTGAAACCCCGTCTTAGCTAGGCATGGTGGTGCACGTCTGTAGTCCCAGCTACTCAGAAGGCTGAGGCAGGGGAATGGCTTGAACTCCGGGGGCAGAGGTTGCAGTGAGTCAAAACCACGCCACTGCACTCCAGCCTGGCAACAAAGGGAGACTCTGTCTCAAAAAAAAAAAAAAAAAAAAGAAAGAAAGAAAGAAAGAAAGAAAAAAAAAAGACACTCTATAGGGTTTTAAAAGAATTTTGAAAATTGAATACAGAAATGATACAAAGAAACTGAAGTCTACTTCAATATACTCCACTTGAAATTATCAGTGCTTTGAGTATGAAGTTGTAAGTAATGATAAATGAAATGAACCTCCTAACAAGAAGCAGCAACTCTTTAATCCAGTAATGCCGAGGCAACAGAAAGGAAGCACACTGAGGTCTACCCCATCCAGGTCAGAACTCTTGTAAAATGCCCTGTGGCATATTGATTTCAATTCAACATCTCTGTGTCCGGGATAATCACTCTTATGGGTGCTTCCTGATGGAGTAGTAATAAATTTCTAGTTTCCTTGTCGGCATAGAGGCTGCGCTTTGCCTGGCAGTAATCACCACTGCCCTTCAGAAACTCCACAGATGTCTGACTGAGAATACCAGAGAACTGAGGAATTTGTTTATGCACTGAAAATGGTGGCCTAGTCCTACAGCTGGTCCCCAGGTGGCGGTGGTGGAGGCTGCAGGGCAGGAGGAGGCGGAGATGTCTCGGGTGGTGGTGGCCGCATTGCAGGCAGCGTGGGGGGCATCAGACTCTACCATGCAGTGAGAGGCTCCTGGTTTGTTTTCAGACATCAAAGTTATACTACAAGGCATAATCCTGATTCTTTTATTTATTGAAAAATATTTGAGTACCTACTTTCTGTCAGGCACTGCTCTGTGTATTAAGAATACAGCAATGAATCAAATAGAATTCCTGCTGTCATGTAGCCTATATTCTAAAGAGGGAGGCAGAAAATTAGTTCATCAGGTAATCACAGAGTTTGTCAGGTGATAAAGTGCTCTGGGGAAAAGTAAAGCCGGGAAAGACGACAGGTAAGTGATGTGGGTCTAAATGAGGTGAAGAATGGCGCTCTAGAAAAGGTAATTGTTCAGAAAAAAAGATAAATCATTCAAAAAAAAAAGGCTATGCTTATATTGCAAGTATTCCCTCTACAGCTGCTGAAATCAGACTCAAAGGGATGATTGTGAAACTGTATTTGTCAGTTTGGGGATGTGAGAGAAGAACAGAAAAGCGGGGCGGGGGAGCAGATTGGGTCCTTCCTAACAGAGGATTGAGTGCTTGAAATATATCAGATACTCAACAAATGTGCATTGAATCTGAGCATAGTCAAGCTTCACATCTCTCATAAATCGAGGTAATGTAGCAGTCCTATCAAGTACAGTATTTTGGAATGCCAGTATGATGGATCTCCCTCATAGTTCAGCCGGTTTCTGTCTCTGTACCTCATCCATTGGATAGTCCTCTGACGGGAAAAGAACCAATGTTATCTCGGAGGAAGATAGAGCATCCTATAAGGGAAGTCCCAGCCACACATAAGAAAGGAGGGAACACCTGCCCTCCTAGACCCAAGGGATAGTGTTAAAGGGAGAGTGCTACAGAGTTCCCTCTTTGCATCCTATCCTTGGGTCAAACATTGGGGATGGATAGATGGTTCTAGACACTAAACATTTGCTAGATATGGGAGAATCTGGAACATCAGAGATTAATAGCATACTTTCCCCACTGTGCCTGAGAAGATGCAAACCCCTGGTTAAAAACCTTGCACATAGATAAATGTCCCAGGAGCAGCAATAGAGAGACAGCCAGGGAGAAAACCCAAAGGTAGAAATCCTGGCTCCCCAAGACCCGTTCAGCATCTAGGCTACACTGTCCAATATGGTAGCCACTAGCCACACAGGCTTCTTAAATTAAAATTTAACCAAGATTAAATATAATTTAAATTTGTTTTTTTAGTTGCACTAGCCACATTTCAAGTGCTCAGTAACTATGTGTGGCTCAAGACTACTGCATTGTAGAGTACAAATAAAGAATGTTTCTATCACCGTAGAAAGTTCTATTAGACAGCAGTAGTCAGCAAACTTTTCTGTAAAGGGCTTAAGAGTAAATAATCTTAGCTTTATGGACAAGAAAGTCTCTATCACAATTATTTCAATACTATTGTTTTAGCATAAAAGCAGCTGTGGTCTACATGTAAATGAATAGGTATAGCCATCTTGCAACAAAACTTTACTTATAAAAACAGGCCTTAGCCTGAGGGATGCAATGTGCCTGTCCCTGGGATAGAGGAGCCAAAAGTTCCTATATGCCTCAGTAAAGGGACAGAAGCCACTGAAAGAATCAGTGAGCTAGTGGAGGCCTGGGCGAGGGCCAAATTACCTGATCTGTGTACCTGAAGGCAATACAGGTCCAGGTGCAATTCAGACACATAGCCCAAGGGCCAGACCACAAACCTGCACACAGATTGAAGGCCATCCTGAGAAGGACCAGGAAGAAAGGAAAGAAATTCAAAAGACCAACCCCAAATAATCCAAATGATCTAGAAGAAACTGTTTAAATGGAAGAGACAGTGATACTGTCTGTTGGCAGATGTAGGGGGCCCCACCCACTGCGGCAGTCCCACCACTCCCTACATCCCTAACCCCCTGAGGGAGTAGGAGCTCAGGAGGAAGTTTAAGTGTGCTTAAAAAAAAATAATAATAAGCCATAATTTCCTTGGCCCTCTAAGTTACAGTGAAAATGAAAAGTCAATGCTCCTACACAATGTTTTCTCACATGTATATAAAGAAACTTTAGAAAGGAAATCTTTGCACTCTTTCTAGGAACTCTGCTTTGGGCTAATTCATCTCTACAGCCCCTCCAGACCTCCTTGTGACTGAGGATATACACTGAGGTCTTGTGTGAGGGGAACACTGGCCTGGAGAGAGAAAGTCTGGGCTCCAGCTGTGTGACTTATACTAAACCGGTAACCACTCTGGGCTTCAGTGACCCTACCTGTCACATGGGAAGACAGATCAAATGACTCCTAAATTCTTATCCAGTTTAGAGATAATAATTTTATGATTCATCTGAAAGAAATCTGGGGTCGTGGCCTGTGACTATAATTGACAAAGCCTGATCACATGTCAGTGGATTAAGTCTTAACTTTACTATTAAGATGAAACTGAACAAGCTAAGTTTCTACCAGTTCACTGAAAAGTCCTGATATTGAATACTTGCATAGTTTTAAGGACATGGTATCACTCAAACTATATTAGTCATCTCAGGCTGCCATACTAAAATACCAGAGACTGGGTGACTTAAAGGACATTTATTTCTCACGTTTCTGGAGGCTGGAAGTCAAAGATCACGGTGCCAGCATGGTTGTCTGATGAGGGCTCTCTTCCTGATTTGTAGACGTCCACCTTCTCACTGTGTCTTCACATAGCAGAGAGAGAGTGAGCTCTCTGGTGGTTCTTCTTTTAAGGGCACTAATCTCATTATAGGGCCTTACCCTCATGAATTCATCTAAATCTTATTACCTCCCAAAGGTTTTATCTCCAAATACCATCTCATTGGAAGTTAGGGCTTCAACATACAAATCTTGAGGGAATGCAATTTAGTCCATAGAATCAACCTTCAAATTACTGTAAGGTAAGATGCTGACTTCTTAGAATTTTGCTCTATTCATGAACAAAACAAAAGAAGATGTGTTTCTCATCAGCAAGAAATTTTTGAGAAAGGAATATCAAGTTGTGTCCCCCCTGTCTGACATTCAAAGCAGAGGTGAGATGGGAGGATTACTGACTCAATTATCCACTATCACAGTAACTAACATTTACTTGACAACTTACTGTGTACCAGACACTCCTTGAAGTGCTTTACATATATCATCTCATTTCACTCTACAATAACCTAAAGTGATAGCCTTTATTACTAGACCTGTTGTAGAGATGAAGACACAGGAATACTCGGAGAGCCTTAGTAGCTTTCATAAGATGTCACAAATAATATGAGACTGAGTCCAGATATAAAACTCAGTAGACTCATTCCAGAGCCTGCCCTTCTAATCACCATGATCTATGACCTTCAGGTTAGACACAAGTCAAGAGTACCTGTGTGCATGCACATGTGTGCACACGTGCACACACACACAAATCAGAGATGTGCTTGAAAAAGCATGTATTTAATTTATTCATAACATGCATTAATTAATGTATTAATGCCTATAAGTTATTCACAGTCTATGATGGACTTCTTTAACCAACTAAGCAAAATGCATTCTCCCAACATCTTGATGAGATTAGAATGTCAGAAAATGAGAGTTTTGATGAGTGGTGAAGACCAAGATCTTTTGAATTGGGGCCTTTGAAGGAGGAAGGGTCCAAGTAGAACATTGAACTTAGAACCGTGAACAGCTAGGGTATGAGACAAAGGCTCGAGTGCTTGAGAGGAAAAGGATGGAAAAAAAGAGGAAGCCGTATTGAGGTGAGAACTACAGCAAGTGAGGTGTTCCCACTGCAGAGCTCTGTGTGCCAGACACTGTACAAATTCTCCTTGCTACTGTCTGTAATCTGTACACAGCCTCCCTAGGACAAATCACTTTTACCCTTTTGCCCAAGATGACCAAAGTCAAGTCATTAAGCTCTCTTTTTGTGCCAGCAAGGTGCCCAACTTTGGTCATTCCTGGCTGCCAATATATGAGGTATGACTTGTGTTAAAATGTGGAACAACACTGCATGTGGAACAACATTCAGAGGAAGCTCAGAAAGTTCAATGGTTGAGTTTAAAGACAACAGCCCAGTTCAATGACAG